GTACGCTGTTTTGGAAATGGTCGTGTCCAATTATGAACCACAGGAAGCATCTGTGGGCTGGATGAATGGATATATGAAAATAGGTATCCTGTAGGTCGAGGGCTGTGAACCAGTCCCCGCTCAGGTATTATTGTGCCCAGTGTGACCATTTTGAATTTCTGTACTCTTACAAATTTGTTCAGTCAGCATAGGTCTAGTATAGGCCTCCATCCCCTGGTCTTTTTCTGGGTCAGAAAGTAGTGGGAGTAGAGCACTTTTCCTCGATGTTGTGTCAGCACGGGTTCCACTGCACCTATCCATAGAAGGTGATCCACTTCTGCGCAAAGTAGGTGCTCATGAGAGGGGTCCCTGAAGAGGGATGGGGAAGGGATAGTTCAGTCTGGTTACTCTATTTCTAGGACCCAACAGTCCTGTGTAATCTGCTGCCAGGCATAGTGGAAAACCTGGAGGTGGTGGCCAAATGGGTAAGTAGGCAGTGGAGTCAAGGAGTTGTCATGCAGACCCTCGACCAACGCTTCAAGATTGTTTATTTCCCGATGGGTGGGAGGTAGCTGTTTGCGCTCGTTTTGTCTGCGCCTAGGAGGTCTAGGGCAATTCCTGGGTATATCGTATGGTCTGTTCTGAGGCTAGTGATACTGTTGTGTGCGTGGCCTCTGGTAAGGTTGATACTGTTGTTTCCTGGGAAGGGATGAGTAAATGTCCAGGGTGCGCAGGGTCGCTCTAGAGCCTTTCATGGTGTGAAGGACTTCGTCGGTTTTCTTGGAAAAAAGTTTGCCTTTGTCAAAGGGGAGGTCCTCCACTTTGGTCTGCAAGTCTTTGGGGATACCTGATGCAGACACCCAGGAAGATCTGCGCATAACCACAGCAGTCGCAGTAGCGAGAGCAGCGGTATCTGTCATGTCCAGAGATGCTTGTAGGGCCGTTCTGGAAACAAACTGGCCCTCGACAAGGACTGACTTAAAGTCTGCTCTCCTGTCCTCTGGAATATGGGAGGTAAAATCAAAGAGTTTATTGTAGTTATCAAAATCATAGCTTGCAAGTAGGGCGGAATAGTTTGCAATTCTGAATTGCAGAGTGGAGGAGGTATAAACATTGCAACCAAAGGTGTCAACACATTTGAGGTCCTTGTCTTGCTGGGTGGGCCGGTAGTGCAGCTGTTTCATCCTCTGAGTCGCTGCATCCACTACCAGAGAATTTGGTTGTGGATGAGAAAATAAGAAGTCTATGGCCTTAGCAGGAACATAATATTTGCGTTCAGCCTTTTTGCAAGTTGGTAAGATAGAGGCTGGGGTCTGCCAGAGTGTGTCAGCTGGTTCTAGGAGTGCTTCATTTATGGGAAGAGCAATCTCTGAGGGCGCAGAGGTGGTTGTAGGATTTTGAGGAGTTTGTGTTGTGTCTCCTGGACCTGCTCTAAAGGGTTGTCTTGGCTGAGTGTCACCCTCTTGAAAAGTTCCTGGAACTGTTTGAGGTCGTCCACGTTCTGTGGAGGCAGAGGCATGAGGGCTCTGTCTGGAGCTGATGGAGAGTTAGGAGTCAGCGAATCAGGGTATAGTTCCTGGCCCTCCTCTTCAGAGGGGAGTTCAGGCAGTCTAGAAGTAGATGGAGGCACAGAAGGAGCTTGTGGTCTGGTGGAAGAAGCATGAAGGTGAGTGGCAGTAGGAGCTGGCCAAGGGTACCAGTGAGGCCAAGGCATTGGGTAGGAAAAGTCAGGTGCCGCCCACAGGGAGGGTGAAGTAGGGAAACTGAGGCTGGTGGTTGTTAATCGTGATCTGAGGTGTAAAAGGTTCCGGTGGAGGAGGAGAGGCAGGTGAGGAGAACTCCTGCTGTTGCTGCATATCAGGCTCGCTGTCAATAAAGGTAGCCAGGTCAGGTGGAGAGAGCAGCTGGTCAAAGAGTGAGCACTGTGTGTCCAGCAGTGGAGAGTTAGGCTCAGGTGCCACTGAAAGATCATCTTGACTTAGGAACTGTTGTTGCTGTTCCCTAGGATCTGAGTCTGCTGCAAGCGACTGTGCTCAGAGACGTGCACAGACTTTTGCTTGGCTTTTCCCAGTGCTGCAGGTCTCTTGTATGCACCCTGTGGGAGGTCTGCTGCCGTCACGTGAGCAGCAGGCAGGCTCAGTGCCGACGTTCTTAGCACCAGAGTAGAGCGCACTGTTGGCACTGGGTCTATTTTTGGTGCTGAAGGGGTCGGTGCCAAGGAGATCTTCCCTGCACGGGAAGTCAGGTCCCTGTCTCTATGTTCCATGAGAGCCATGGCTGAGGTGGCAGGATGGTTGGAGGTGCCTGACTTCGGCACTGACAGCTCTGAGGGTAAGGATCTCGCAGGAGACCCTTTACCCTTGTGAAAGTCTCTGCTTGGAAACAGTTGGGCTTCTTGCCTCTGCCTGAGAGGGTGAAGCCATGCTCCCAATTGGTTCGGACCTGGCCGGGGAGCGTGGGGTAGAGGGTTTGACAGTGTCCGTCTCCAGTGGCTTCTCATGCAGAAATTTCTGCAGCCGCATTTTCAGCCGCAGGTCCCTGTCATGACGAGCCCTGGTTTTGAGGCTCGTGCAGTGGACACACTTAGCAGGGCCATGTGTCTTGCCGAGGCACTTCACATAATGTGAGTGTCCATCGGACCTTGGCATAAAGTCCTTACAGGAAGCACATTTCTTAAATCCTGAAGCCCCTGGCATTATTGAGCTTGGAGTGCCAGGGGAGAGTGTCTCCGCGGGAGACAAATTTGAGGAAAAAAAGGGTGGTTTTTTTTTTGTTTTTTTTTTTAAACTAAGTAACTATTCTAAGGGAAGAGAAACAACTGGGATGTTACTATTTCTATACTATTTGTAATTGTTTCCTTCAGAGACCAGGGAAGAGGATCAGCACTGCCCCGAGTCCCGTCTTCAGTCAAGGACGGTTGAGAAGGAACTGAGGGGGGCGCGCACTCAGGCAGACTCTAACAAGACCACGAGACAGCAGCTGAGCATGTGCATTACGACCAGGCACAGCTACCGAAGATCTCCGATCAACAGCGCCAGGACCCACTGTCACCTGGAGTGGAGCACCCACAGGGACAGTACTCGAAGAAGAGCTATTTAAGCTAAAGGACAATGTTGACACAAACACATTTGGACATAAACTGCCTATGAATAAATTTAGGCTGGAAATTAGAAGAATGTTTCTAACCATCAACAGAGTGAGGTTCTGGACCAACCTTCCAATTGCAGTAATGGAAGCAAACTCCCTGTCCAATTTTGATGGAGCCTGATAAACTTATGAATTGGATTATATGACATGGGTTGCCTGTGGCAATATAGGACTGGACTTGACGATCCAGAAGGTCCTTTCCAGTCCTATGTACCAGTGATTTCAGGTCCCAGGTTTGAGTTTTTTAGGCTTGGCAGTCAGAAAAGCATTTTTACTTGTAAAGAGGAAGTTTAAATGTGGAAATAACTGAAACACAACAAACAGGGAATCTCCACAATGCTATTTATGTGTGAGAGAACCTTCAAACTTTGAAGTTTTACTAAGTTAAACACAGGAATAAAACAAAAAAACCAATCTGCTATTACAAAGCATAAAACAATATAAATAGAAGTGGCTGTAAAATACGGCATGTCGAAACTTTCAGCTAGCAGGAAAACGCAACATACTTCACCGCTGTCTAAAAAGGTACCTAATCCATAGATATATGGTTCATTTTGACAGGCCTTTAACATGATTGCTAAATCAGGAACCAGCAGTAGAGAAGCAGTTCATGTAAGAACAGATGTTTGGCTAAGTGGTGCTGAGGGACACCACTGTCTCAAAGTAATCTGGAAAAAAGAACAGGAGTACTTGTGGCACCTTAGAGACTAACAAGTTTATTAGAACATAAGCTTTCGTGGACTACAGCCCACTTCATCGGATGCATGGAATGGAACATATAGACAGACAGACAAAGATGGAAGTTGCCAAACTGTAAGAGGCTAATGAATTAAGATGAGCTATTATCAGCAGGAGAAAAAAAAAAACTTTTGTAGTGATAATCAAGATGGCCCAACTAAACAGTTGACAAGAAGGTGTGAGCATACTTAACATGGGGAAATAGATTCAATGTGTAATGACCCAGCCACTCCCAGTCTCTATTCAAACCCAAATTAATGGTATCTAGTTTGCATATTAATTCAAGCTCAGCAGTTTCTCGTTGGAGTCTGTTTTTGAAGCTTTTCTGTTGCAAAATTGCCACCCTTAAGTCTTTTACTGAGTGGCCAGAGAGGTTGAAGTGTTCTCCTACCAGTTTTTGAATGTTATGATTCCTGATGTCAGATTTGTGATCATTTATTCTTTTGCATAGAGACTGTCCAGTTTGGCCAATGTACATGGCAGAGGGGCATTGCTGGCACATGATGGCATATATCACATTGGTAGATGTGCAGGTGAACGAGCCCCTGATGGCGTGGCTAATGTGATTAGATCCTATGATGGTGTCACTTGAATAAATATGTGGACAGAGTTGGCATCAGGCTTTGTTGCAAGGATAGGTTCCTGGGTTAGTGTTTTTGTTGTGTGGTATGTGGTTGCTGGAGAGTATTTGCTTCAGGTTTGCAAATAAAGCTTATGCTCTAATAAATGTGTTAGTCTCTAAGGTGCCACAAGTACTCCTGTTCTTTTTGCGGATACAGACTAACACGGCTGCTACTCTGAAAATAGTAATCTGGGTGGTTCTTTATCAAACAGGCAGGGGAGGAGAGGCGGGAAACCAAAAGGACACAATCAGCAGTTGGCAGGACATTAGGCTGCTTTTGAGGGACTGAGGAGAAGATTAAACTTTCTGGAGGACAAGCTATTCTCTATGTTCTAAGAGTTAAACTGTACTCTCCCGTTCCCTTTCAAAAATACAATATTGAATCTTAAGCTTCAGGATATTTCTTGCAGTTCCCAGCTATAAGAGATGAATTTAACAGATGGTGTTAAATTTGAAAATAATGGCAATTTTTTAAAAAAAAAAGAACACACTGTATTTATCATTTGTTACATACCCCATTCTCTGTACGTTTCTCCACAGGTATATTTATTCCATTTCTTTGATTTTGGGTCTGATGCCCACCTAAAAATAAAGTATCAATCTTATTAGCAAGGGGTATTTTTTTGGTTTTTTTTAATTCAGACTGTTTTCGCTGCAAAACTACAATGTATCTGTACAAATTACAATCACTCTTTAACAAATCAGCTTTTTGTAAGTTTAATTTCCTTCCTTACAAACTACAACAACTATATATTTGTCATTTGGTAAAAAAAAGTTCAAAAGCAATTAAAAATTGATAGATTATTAAGGGTTTTTCTTCTTTTGGGAGACAAGGGAGCAGGTGTTTTTGTTTTTAATACAACGGGTAGTTAATCAAGTTTACTTGAAGCTCAGCCAAACAGCACTGAGCTTTTTTCACAACAATACTGAAGGAATTTGTAAAATTAAGAATTACTTAAAATATTCTTTCTAATCCTCTACAAACCACTCCATATGTATCAATATTTATTACAGTATCAAGTTTTTTGTTTTGTTTGTGTTTTTACAATAATATTCCAATGCCTTTAAAAAGAGGCAACAAATTTCTCAACAGAAGTTCAGCACTTCAGGAACTATTTGACAAGACAGGTTTATCAAAAGAATAGATTGACTGCTTTAGTTGTTGCCAATATTCATTTTAACATGGAACTATTCCTCTTGGTTATGAGCACATAAAAGTTTCCTTTTATCTGTAATGTCAATTCTGCCAATTCCTACTGTATCAATACAAACCTTTGGCATTAGGTTACTCTTTTTAGATCGCAGAGTCCGCAAAAGTAGAAAATGTTGACTTCATGGCCCGCCTGTATTAAGATCTGTAATATGCGGCTCTATATTTTTCTGCCTCAAACAAGTTTTGTTGCCACAAACATCCAAGAAATAGTGTTACTTAAGTCAGTGAACTGAGCATCATATTGTCACAGTTTGACTGCTAAAGCCTCATATTTCTGTACCCACAAGAAACAATAGTTCTGGCTGAGTACATTGCAAATGTATATATTAGAGGCCGTTTCCCAGATGCCTTCCAAAGTTCCTTAATTTAAAGCTTGATTAATCTTACCATGGTTGATTTAGAAGCCTTGCATGCCTGATTTAGAAAGGACAAGCATGTTTTCCATGTACGTAAAACTCCAGGCCATGTTTAAAACATATTTAATACATATACATTTATATTGCACTTTAATCACAGAGGATGGTTAAGCACTTTACAGTTTATACAAATCAGTATGTATTGACATCCCTTCATGCACTACTGGACTTCACCTAGTCAAAAAACAAGGAGCCATTCTGCACCACTATATTCTACAGCTTTCAAGAGAGGTAGTGGGGAATCCCTTATTCCACTGAAACTATAGAAATAATTTTGGTGGACAGGGTATGTCTGTTGGAACTTGGCTATGGCATCAAATCCACCATCTTTCTCTTGTGAATAGAAACACAGAATTAATTTCTATGACCTCAAATGGTCAGTACCTCAATTTTAAGTCTAATCATGACTCATATGTAGAGCAATATCCCTTAGTACATAAGGTAAAAGTTAATGTAGGAACTAAACCTGGGCCACTTTTAGTAATCCAAATCATCATCTATGCCTCACCGTTGTAAAACTAATGAGTCAAAAAATAATACTTTTAGAAAACTTTACTTATGGAACAACCCAAGAAAGGTTCAAAAGGAGAATTAATTAAAGCAATCAAGACTAAGGGCCTGGCTACACACGAAACTTCAAAGCGCTGCCACGGGAGTGCTCCCACAGCAGCGCTTCTGCAGTGCGAGTGTGGTCGCGCGCCAGCACTGGGAGAGAGCTCTCCCAGCGCTCCTGGTACTCCACCTCCATGAAGGGATTATTTTACAGGGGATTAGCTTTACACTGGCGCTTTACAGTGCTGTAACTTGCTGTGCTCGGGGGGGGGGGGGTGTTCACACCCCTGAGAGAGACAGTTGCAGCGCTGTAAAGTGCCAGAGTAGCCATAGCCTTAGCTGAGACATAAGAAACAAAAGTTACTTGTTAGAGATGGTCAAATTAACTGAATTGAGTCAAAACAGCCTGAGCATACCAGTAGGCATCTCAACTGGTGATTCCTTCATAGCCTTCAGATAGATTAACTGAGCATGACAAAGTGAGTACATATACAAGTATAATCTCAAAGTTTTCTTGTAAATTAACTATCATCTATCTCTGTTTGATTAGAGAAAACAGATTCTATTACCTACACCAATCCCTTAAGGCTCTCCTGATTTAATACTACACTCCTTGATAGAAAGCTTCTTTCTAAAAGTCAAGTAGACCATAGCGTTTTCATGACAGAAATTGCTATTCCATTTTTGTTTTAAATATAGCTACATGAAGAGTAGAAGAGTCTGTCAGGGATACTTTGCAAAACAGATTTTCCTCTCTCTCGGATCAAAGTCATTTGCTTGGAGATGCACAGTGCACTCTTTCAGGGAAGTAAAACAAGGGACCTTGCCTTTAATATAAAAACTGCTTTAAGCCTTGCATACCCATCAGCATTTCTGGATCAGTATCAAAAGGAACAAAAAACTGCTTTATGAAATAAAGCAAACCATTTTTTTTGTTAAGCTGTCCTCATAAGAGGCAAGTCTAATTGTTTCCCACTTCTCCTCTGTCTTTTGATATGTGGTACTTATGCTCTGTTGTAATGACAGAAAAAGCATTCAGCATTTTAACTAGTTCTGGAGTGAAACATTTAAAACTCATTTATGTCATTTCTGGCACCAAAGCATGCAAGTCACAGGGAGGAGGACTAATGTCCATAACTATTCTGATCAGATTTTCTGCCAAAAGAGTGAAACAAATTAAGGTAAATATATTTATCATAATAATGGTTACATTTTATATTAGAAAAGCAAAAGTGAAAAGTGAATGCCTAGGAATCCCCTTTATCAGTTTTAAAGGAGACAAATGTGATTTCAGCAGCTAACCTGTAACTGTACAGTAAAAAAGAGTAGAAGAAAGTGAGAAATTTGTGCAAGATACAATTACGTAGAAAAGGCAAGAGAACACAAGTTAATTGTCTCAAGGATTATTGGAAGAAGAAGTGTACTTCTCCAGCTAGGTTACTACTGTAAAATTGTGAATAGTCAAGTGAAGCAAAATAAAGAGCCGAGGCAGCTGGTCACTAGGAGCTGCTGCACCTGAACCTGATCAATAATTCCACGGCTATTAGCCACACTAGGTACTATAGTGTGTAGCTGATACTGCAAGTTGCAGTACTGCCTGTTGCCACTAATAGACACCTGGTCCACTCTTGGAAGCTCCAGCAGCCATTGGTGCCTCACCCCGACTTGAAGTCATTTTCATCATATACAGGGTTTACAGTTTGGTTCAATGGCACCCCCACTGCATAAATTGTTCCAGCACCCCTGCCAGTGGCTACAGGGTATCTGGCTATTACCAGGAAACTCCTGAAGGGAATAGTTCAGAGAGGGGCATTCATGACTGGAAAGATATTTATGGCAGGGATTCTCAAACTTTTTGATCACATGAGTCACTTCTTACAGAGTGTATTGGGGACACACCTCCCCTTTCCACCACAGTTGCATAATATCCTTATGGGAACTAGAGTAATTTCTTACATGGAGAAATATTAGGAAAGTAAATAATTTTTAGGAGTCTTTGAATGTGGTTTAGCAGAAAAAGGATGCTGAATTTATATACAGAGTTTATTTTAAGCAATAATACTGGTTTTAAAGCCAAGTTTAATGCATGCTTGAATAACTGAATGTTGGCAGTTTTTAGCTTTATTTTATTAAAATTCTCTCTCAAAAACAAATGTCACTTTCCAGTGGAATTCTGATTTTTGTTGTTCTAGTTCTCCGCTTCGCTGCCCTCACCCCTAAATGACCCCTCTCTCTCGAGTTTTGGATTACCACTGTTAATGGATGGCATAATACAAAAAAGAATTCCCAGGATATATTTTGGAATAAAATGAATAATTCTGAATTTGTGACAAATTGAAATAATACATTTAGAAAATGAAAATTAATTTTACAAGACATTTCCAATCTAAATGTTGCAAAAAGTTATCACACTCAGTCATTAAAATTTTAAGTAGAAAAACAAAAGAATTTAAAATGTCACCGAATTCTAATCTGTGACTAACAAATTCCTATACCAGATGAAAGTGTTCAAAGTCCAGAGTTTTTGGTTTTTTTAATTAGTCAGGAGTGCCAAACATAACATTTAACACATTAACTGAATAAATATATCACAGAAGAAAAATAAATCAATGGATATTCAATAATTCCTATATGAATGCTATTCTTATATACTGCAGGAATGGGAAGGGGAGCCTTTTTAATGTAACAGTCAGTTTCATCCTATGGAAAAAAAGAGGACATATATTTTTTCTTGATTTCTTATATTTAGCATGAGGGGCACGTATACTATCCCATACTCAAACAGCACGTAAGTGAGGGGAAGATAATATTTCCTGGTAAACACTTTCAAAGCCATGGTCAAATAAGCCTTTTGGCAACACATTTTATAAAATTATACAATGTGCATCAATAAAGTGTATGAATAATTATGTATTGTATTAGGCTAATACAGTGTTGTGGCAGATATGGCAATTTCCTGCAATATCTTGAACATACTTTACTGAATTAAGTTAAACCTTCATTGTATTAAAAATGCAAATGTTTACATATTATATGGGGATTATGTGTCTTAGAGGAGACGTGACTAATGTAAATCCTGGTAAGTGTTATGAGCTTCAAAGGACTATTTGAAACAATGCAAACTTTTAAAATGAAGTGGGTTTCCCATGAAATCTCTAAGGGGAGGGATATGCACATGTAACACCTCAAGTTATTCAAAAATCCAGCCTTTTGAAGCTAGGGACCTGAGGAGAAGAAACTCATTGTTTACGAATTACCTCTTCCCAAATCAAAGATTCAGGCTGTACAAAGGAAGGACTAAACTTTTAATCCGTGTGCCTGTTGTGAGCTAACAGCTGTGATGGACTTGTAATCACAGAAAACCCCCTTTGGTAAGGTCTGAAGGACTGTTCACCTGCCAGAGCCTTTGTGGGTGTTGGGGTGATCTCTGGTAACCTTGTCAGCATGCATTTGGATTCTTTTATTGTTTTTAATAGGTTCTCTGTAATGCTTTTACCTTAAGAAAAAATTGCTTAGAAAGTGTTATGTGGTAATTTAACTGAGGGCAATTATGCCATTTATAACCTCTACAGAGAAGGCAAAACAGGCCTGCCAAAGCAGTCTGAGTTGCTGGGAATTCACAGTGTAGGCATGGAACGTGCAGCCTGGAGATATCCTCATTAGGAAGAAGGGAGACATGTGTCTCTGTCCAAGAGAGGTGATGACTGGGGAGCCAGAAGCCTAAGAGCGGGTGCCCTTACTGGACCATGAGGGGGAATACAGGTACAGCTGCCCTGAACTGTGACAAAATGCTAACTATTTTAATACATTCCTGTAAATAATTCCATAAAACAATTTGATTAGTTAGCTTTAGTTATTATTAAGGCTGCAAGTCTGTCATGGAGGTCACGGACTTTGTGTGACCTCTGTGACTTCTGCAGTGGCTGGTGCGCCTGGCCCAGGGGCAGTTCAGGCAGCTCCTGTGCCAGTCACACCAGCTGCTGCAGGGGCAGTCTCGGGCCACTGTGCTCCTCCCCACAGCAGCAGCAGAATTTGGGTGGAGGGGGTTGGGACACGAGACAGGGTGAGGCAGGCTCTGGGTGCCGCTTACCTGGGGTGCTCCCCAGAAGCAGCAACATCCCCCTCGCTCAGCTCCTAGGCAGAGGAGTGGCCAGGCAGCTCTGTGCACTGCCTCCGCCCAGAGCACCAGCTTCGCAGCTCCCATTGGCTGGGAAATGGGAGCTGCAGAAGGGTAGAAGGGGGGTGCCTGCAGGTGGAGGCAGCGTGCAGAGCTGCCTGGCCATGCCTCCGCCTAGGAGCTGAGCGAGGGGGATGTCGCTGCTTCTGGGGAGCCCCCCAGATAAGCACTGCCCACCTCCCCTGCCCCATCCCGCACCCAAGCTGTGCTGCTGCTGCTGCTCCTCAGGTGGGAGGCGCAGAGCCAGGTATGGAGCCTGCCAGCCTCACCAAACCCACACCCCCAGCACCAGCGGGGGTCCCAGGCCACGTGCCGCTGCTCATCCCCCTTCCAGCACCAGCAGAGGTTCTAGGCCACGCATTGCAGCAAGCCCCCCGCACCAGCGGGGGTCTCGGGCAGCGTACTGCTGCTGACCTCACACCCGCACCCCCACCCCAGCACCCACAGTGGCCCCAGGTAGCCCCCTCCCCCAAGGTTTAGTCGGGGTATATAGTAAAAGTCATGGACAGGTCATGGGCTGTGAATTTTTGTCTACTGCCTGTCTGTGACTTTTATTAAAATTACCCATGACTAAAACGTAGCCTTAGTTATTACCTGTGTAAGGTAAGTGTACTTACTCTGTTCATTGTTTTCAGCTGGAGATTCCTCATGCCGAAGAAAAAATTTCACTTCTTCCCTACGGGGTCCCCACTTCTGTAAATGGTCATACATCATGTGATCAAAGGGTATAGGGCGTTCTGGAAATATAGAATAAAATATTTCTGAGTCCAGCAACTTCTTACAAAGTACACCGGACCCTCGCTAGAACATGCATCTATATAGCGCGAATTCACATATAAAGCGGTCGCAGCCATGAATCTCATATTTAATTACTTTACTTGGAATTCATTTTAACGCAGTCCCCGCGTTAACGCGGTACCGCGCATGGATCCCAAATCCCACGTTCTAGCGAGAGTCCGGTGTAACATTAAAAAAACTGCTTTAAAATGTGGGTGCATTTTTGGCACTTCAAGCAGTCATCTGACAACTTAACACGTAGAAAACGAATTCAAAATAAAAGCAGAAACAAGAAGAAAATAACTAACAGCATATTAACATACTATTAAAATAACTAAGTTAAGTACATAACAATAGCAACAGTGACAATTTTAGATAGTACAACCACCTACATAATTTCAAAGTTTATAATCCTATTATGCACTCATTTAAATTTTGCCAGGAATTCTCTATCACCTTCTGTGACATTATATGATTAAAATACAACCACGTAGATCAGGGGCAGGCAAACTTTTTGGCCTGAGAGCCACATTGGGTTTTGGAAATTGTATGGAGAGCCAGTTAGGGGAGGCTGTGCCTCCCCCTGGACTCCTGCCCCATCCAACCCTCCCTGTTCCCTGACTGCCCCATCCACCTCCCCCCCCAGCTCCCTGTCCCCTGACCACCCCCAGAACCCCTGCCCCGACTGCCCCCCACCGTCCCATCCAACCCCCTCTCATTCCTGACTGCCCCCCCCGTTCCCCACCCTCTAACCGCCCTGACCCCATCCACACCCCCGATCACCACCCCAAACTCCCCTGCCCCTCTATCCAACCCCCCCTGCTCTCTGCCCCCTTACCGTGCTGCCTGGAGCACCAGTGTGCTTCGAACACCGAGTTGCCCTCGACATAGGAGAGCCTATAAAAAGCCCTAGAAACATCTCCATTTTGCTTCTTCCCTGCTCTGATCTCTGGCTTATGGATTTATACTAATGGGAGCATTCTAACCAAGGGACTAAGGGCCTTCAAATCATTTGGAAGCAACCGGAGACTTAAAAGCCAGCAGTTTATGCCATCACTACTTGAAACCTGATCCAAGAACTTTGCAATTATTGTGTGTATTTGATTCCTTTAACCAATTTAAACTCTTACCTCTTTCTTTTCTCCTATAAATAAACCTTTAGATATTACTGTGACATTACTGACATAATCTGGGACCGTATAGATCATCGTTGCAACCAAGGTCCTGTAGTGGCACCAAATCTTATATAAAGGGGGTCAAATGAGGTGTCTAAGACAAGGTTATGGTTTGCTGATTATGATTATGCTGTCTATATGTATCATTTTTGTAGTTGAAGTTATGAATATTGGCTCTATACTGTCTGTATTTCAAACTTATGCTATCCTTCTGGGTGACAACCCCAGAAAAGTTGGTGTCAGCTCTGCCTAGCCTGCTTGATGGCCCATTAAGGACCATCAGCTATACAACTGATCCACTGAGAGAAGATAGTCACTCCTTGTGACTCAGCAAGGTGTACAGGGACATGCCTATGGACAGCTCTGAGGTTTTTCCATGCCATGTGATGGACAGCTTGTCTTTGGAACAAAGAAAGAAAGACCACATGGCAAGAGAATATAAAAAGCTGCTGCAGATCCTCCATCTTGTCTTCAATCCTGCTTCATACCTCTGGAGGAACTTTGCTACACTGAAGCTTTGAACCAAGGACTGAAAGACCCATCCCAGCTGCGGATGTACTCCAGAGACTTGATTTGAACCTGCAGTTTATTCTATCACTGCTGCAAGCCTGAACCAAGGACTTTGCCATTACTGTATGTAATTGATTCCATTTAACCAATTCTAGCTCTCATCTATATCTTTTCCTTTTATGAATAAATCTTTAGATTTTAAAGGAGTGGCAACAGCGTGATCCATGGGTAAGATCTGATTTGTAGAGTGACCTGGGTCTGGGGCTTGGTCCTTTGGGATCAAAAGAACCTTTTTTCTTTTAGTGGGATATTGGTTTTCATAACCATTTGTCCCCATAACGAGTGGCACTGGTGGTGATACTGGGAAACTGGGATGACTAAGGGAATTGCTTGTGTGACTTGTGGTTAGCCAGTGGGGTAAAACCAAAGTCTTCTCTGTTTGGCTGGTTTGGTTTGCTTTGGTGTGCACAGAACCCGAGCCTTGGGCTGTAACTGCCCTGCTTTAAGCAATTTGTCCTGAATTGGCACTGTCAGTTGGGTCCTGCCAGAACCAACATCGTTACAATTATGTATTTAAGGGTTGGTAACAAGATTATTGGGTAAAATATGAGTTATATAGTGCCCTGGGTATGTGACTGGTTCTTTAGGATCAGAAGTAAACTTTGATTGATGAAATTGGTTTTAAATAACCACTCATCATTAAGTCTAGTGTCTGGATGTTGAATTCAGGACTGGAATACCTAAGGAGGTTGCATTTCTGACTTCTTGTTAGCCAGGGTCATGAGACAGAAGTTTTGTTACTGGGTTGGTATATCTTACGGAATAACCACCACCAGTTTTGGGGTGTGTCTGTCTGTAGGGGGGGGTGGCTACCCTACTCCTAAAATAGAAGGAGTTAAAAGCAGCCCTGGAGAGGGCTGTGGCTGAGGATGGCTGACTGGGGAAGCAGCCACAGCTGGGCCACGCCCCAAATCAGGTCCCCAGCTGGCCTGTATAAAAAGGCTGTGAGCCAGAAGCCCAAGGACTCTCTCTCCAGGCTAAGAGAGAACAGGGCCTGCCTGCCTGACAGGGTACTGAGGGTAATGCAGTGCTGGGGAAGGAGCAGGCTGAGCGGCGGCCCTGCAGGCTGGCAACTCCCCAGACTGTAGGGCCTGGTCCACGGCCCATAGAAGTACTGGAAAGCAGAGGAAGGCAGCAGGTCTGAACCCACTTGCCTATGATAAGTGGCCTTTACACTGCAGTCTGCCCCAGGGAGCGGGGGCTTGGTGAATACTGGCAGGAGCCTAGACTGAGGCAAGGTAGGGATAGTGGGTTGGGGGTTCCCCAGGAAGGGGAGACCCAGATGCAGCATGTGGGGGTACTACCAGGGGGAGAACTGCAGAGAAAGGGGCACCGGGGGTCCATGAGAGACACAGGGGCCAGAGCTGTTTGGATCACTGCTTGCAGAGGGTGCTCCAGGCTGGAAAAGAGCTAATTCCCAATGACCAGCAGGAGGTGCCGCAGGGGTGAGTCTGCTCCTTTACACTGCCCTATTTCTCAGCAGTTTGTCCTGAATTTGGTATTCTCAGTTGTGACCCACTGAGGCACGGTGATATTTAAATTTTGCCAGGAATTCATCAGCTACACCCTTTTCAGAGAGTTAAACCTTTCAACTCTGTTCTCCTTTGCCAATTAGGTTTTCTGTTCCTGTTATGAAAGCACCACACTCAGTCTGAACCATAAGAATTCCAGTGAAGTCCACCAGATTAATGCCATATATAATACACATGTAGAATGATAACTAAATACTTAAGGATGAATTATGTGCTACCACTCTAAGAGTAGATTACACAATAGTCACTAATACAGCAGAAACTGGTACAAAATGGCAGTAACCAAACAAATCCAGGAGTAAAATATAGACTAAATTTTCTGCAGTATTACAATTAAATCTCTCTCTCTCTCACCAAAAGAGAAGCCAGATGTCAGGAAGATAGCCCTCTTTGGCTATAAACCCATGTTTATTATCCCTAAATGTGTCTTATCTAGACCAGACAACTCCCCCAGTATAAATACCAGTTTGGTACAAATGTAATCCTTAAGAAAACAAACCATGTAAAGCATTAGGAAAAGACCTAAATGTGAAAAGGAATGTGGGGTTCTTTATCAGAGCAATAAATCTAGGTGTTAATTGGGTTTTTTCACTCTTCCACAAAAAACTATGTAAATCCACACAATTTTCGAAATATCCTAGCTGGAAGGAATTTTATTACTCTAGAAACATCTGATTCTGTCCTTAAAAGCCTCTAGGAAAACAAAATGTAGCTGGAAACATTTCAAACTCAGTTCATTTCTTAAACATTGAAGAGTCATTAAAAAATATTATTACATTTCATCTAGCAGAGAAAGATGTAAAACAATCCAATGACTGGAAGTTGAAAGTGGTCAAATTCAGACTGGAAATAAGGTGTAAATTAACAGTAAGAGTAATTAGTAAGGCTGCATGTGTCATGGAGGTCACAGAAGTAATAGATTCTGTGACTTTCTGTGACCTCCGCAGTGGCTGGTGCTGGGTCAGCAGCAGCAGCAGTTTGGGTGTGTGGCAGGGTGCTCAGGGCTAGGGCAGCAGGATGGGGTACAGGGCAGTGCTTACCGGGGGGAGAGAGGGGGCAGCTTCCTGGCTCCCACCAGCATGTCCCTACAGCTCCTAGGCGGAGGGGCAAGAGGGCTCCATGTGCTGCCCGAGCCCACAGCTGCTGCCCCCTTTGGCTACTGTTCCTGGCCAATGGGAGCTGCAGGGACAAGCTGGGCAGAGATGGGTAGGGAGCCTGCCAGCCCCACCAACCCTTCCCGTCCCAACCCCCAGCACCAGCAGGGGTCCCAGTGTGACATTCTATACCTTGGGGGAGCGTACTGTAACCCCCTTATTCCTCATTTTCATATAATCATGATCCTACATATAAAGCATGCTTTGCAAGGTATCAGAGGAAAGGTTATGATCCATATATGTGTATCATTAATGCATATGAAGTTCTGAGAATTGTGTTGTATGGTGATCACTAAAACGATGTAAATTGGGGAATCAGCTAGATATTAGCTTCCCAGAGGCAACAGCAAGGAAAGCAATCAACACTTGGGTGGAGTGTCAAACAACCAATCAACAGCCATTCTCCAGCAAGGGAGCTACAATGCAATGACTCACCCTGCATGCGGTGACACCAGGGGAATGCTCAACCTTGCTTGGAGAGACTCAGCAATACCCCCTAGACATGCCTGGTCTTGTGCTCCCCAAGCAC